AAAAGGAAAAAAACCAAAATGAACAGAAAAGAACTCCCCAAAACAAACATAAAAGGATCATTTCTCTCCAGGGAGGCAGAGCACACCTCTCAGGCTTGGGTGTGGCATAGTCCTCTGCCTCCGTGAGCCTCGAGGGAGGGGCATTCCTCCAGCGCCCAGGAAGGAGGCTGGGCCTGGCCAGGATTTCTTGGTGCTGATGTCCCTGCACTGTCCACCACGGCAGGACTAGCCACAGAGTTATTTAAACTTAAATGAATAAAGCAGAAAACTAAATATTCAGTTCGCACTAGCCTCATTTCAAGTGCTAATGGCTACTGTCCTGGACAGCACCGGTTCGGAACATTTCCATCGTCTCAGGAAGTCCTACTGCTGGCTAGCGCTGCTCTAGACGCAGCCACAGGGACTCACCTGCGGGTTGAGTAAAATCACAAATCAAGAATGCATGTGGTTCAGGACCCCCACTCTCAGATTCCGAATGACACCTGAGCAACCCACACCGTTTCCACAGGGACAATTTCCAAAGGCAGAGGCCCGAGGCTGGGCCGGGGCTGGAGAGGGCTTGGGAGGCGTGGTAACTGCATCAGCGCTTGAAGAGCAACTTCTCTTTTGCAATCCTTGCTGGTCTGACAGGCTCCTGCAGAATTACATCATTTCCTAAAAAAACAGGCAAACACTTCTCCATAAAGTTAGCACCTACCCCCAAATCCAGGAAACTGGAAATGTTGACTTTTCATGGAGGCTAAAGCCAGCGCAATGTCATCCGCGAGGGAGCGCCCAGGCCAGCTGACAGGAAGGCTCTCCGTGCTGCCCTCCTCTGTGTCCTGATAAACGCTCTCTTCCTCACTGGCCGGACTAAGGGTAAGCTCTATTTTTATGATTTTAGAGAGAAGGGAAGAGGGAGAGAGATAGAAACATCAATGCTGAGAGCGAATCATTGATTGGCTGCCACCTGCACGCCTCCACCGGGGATGGAGCCTGCAACCTGGGCATGTGCCCTTGACCAGAATCAATCCTGGAACCCTTCAGTCCTCAGACCAAAGCTCTTCCACTGAACTGAAACTGATAGGGCTAGCATTGTTTATTAATTCATCAAAATGTGATCATAAACAGTAAAACATATGCATTACACAGATTACCAAGAGTCCACAAGACATTAAAGGACTTACCTAAGCATTTGGGTGGCTCAGACCACTGTCCATTACGGCACGTTATTCTCCTGTTTCCCTCAAGTTCATAGTAGGCCTGGCATTGATACTCCACTGAAGACCCGCGAGTGTAGACTGCTAATGGATACGTGGTAATGTCTCCATTGTCAATAGCAGGAGGGCGCCCACATTGTCCTGTGGGCTCTAAGAGAGGATATTGTTGGTTTATTGAGTGAGCAGTTGATTTTAAGGGAGCTGCGGAGTAGGTGGGAGCTACACTCACCTCCTCCCGGCCCCAAACCGATTTACAGGAAATGATAGAGCAACAAACCTGAGTAACCCATGAAGGCCAGCTGGACAGGAGTCTAGTAACCAAGTGCTTACAGAAGCTGCACAGAGACTGGGAGGGGAGCATGAGACACCTACCCTTGCACTCAGGTGGGTCTGTCCACTTCCCACTTAGACATGTCACTTCTGCATTCCCGACAAGGCCCAAAGGCCCAAAGGGTACCTGCATTCATAACGTGCTGTGTCCCTATGTCGATAGTTAGCCTTCTGGTTTGGTATAAAGGCATTTTGCACTGTGGGAGGGCTGCTACAGGAGACATCAGAATAAAGAGAAAAATGGATGTCTAATGCAGCGATCATTTAGATGCAATTCTGACTAAAAATCTTCATAAAGTTACATGGAAGATTGAATATAAAAGGCAAAGCAAATTTTTTTTGGTAAGAGTTAAGCTTCTATATCTTAAGTTTCTTTCCAGTCCTCTCTCTATGGTTAATAGAGATTTTTAGGCCAATGAAAATGATGATTATGCCGTTCAAAAGTTTTTAGTTTCACGTAGTCCTATTTGTTTATTTTTTTTCTTTTGTTTCCCTTGCTTGAGGAGATATATCAGAAAAAATCGTGCTGGGAGAAATGTCTGAGATTTGACTGCCTATGATTTCTTTAGGATTTTTATGGTTTCACATCTTACATTTAAGTCTTTAATCCATTTTGAGTTTATTATTGTTTTTGGTGTAAGAAGGTGGTCCAATTTCATTTTTCTGCTTGTATCTGACCAATTTTGCCACCACCAATTATTAACCAATGCCACCCAAATAACTTCAAGAAAAGAATTTTATGACGTAATAGAAGAAAAGAGAAAAAGATCATTTTTCTGAACATTTTCCTAGAAGTTTAGTAAACCAAACATCAATTATTTAAGTTCAAAATGAATCTGTAAACACTCAATACCCATAATCAATCCCTTATCAGGTCCCTCCCCCTGGCTGGCCTGATTGCCGAGATGGGGGCAGAGAGACTGGACCCCACCCATGCATGAATTCGTGTACCAGGCCTCTAGTTTAAAATAAACATGTGAGTCCCTTGACAATTACTCTGACACCCAACATTCAGTAATGTTACCTGTGTTTGCTACCATCAAAATGCATCCCAGACCTGTCCTCTGTTCTGCATCGCTTCAGCCATCTCTCTGGCCCAATCTCCACCTAAAATTCTCCCCCTTCCTCAGTACAATCCCTGATAGTTCCCAAAAATTATTTTGTTTTCAAGTCAATTCATTCAAATATTACAGACAGCCCTGGCCAGCTGGATCAGTGGCCCACAGAACAAGGGTCCCTGTTTCAGTTCCCGGTCAAGGGCACATAATTTTTTTTGTAGGTTGGATTCCATGCCCAAGTTGGGGCTTGTGTAGGAGGCAACCAGTCCATATGTCTCTCTCACATCGATGTTTCCCCCTTCTCCTTCCCTTCCACGCACTCTCTAAAGATCAATGGAAAAAATGCGCTCCGGTGAGGATTAAAAAAAATCAAAGACAAATGAAAAGGGGAAAAGTCCTACCTAAGAAGGAAGCTAGATATTCAGGTAAGTTTCAACTCACCTTGTCCATGAGCCCAGGAGACCCACAGGGTGAGGATGACCTTGACTAGTAACAGCATGGTGGGCTCCCCGGGTGTGTGATAGTGCAGATCTTCCAAGGCTGCTGTTTGGGCTTAAATCTGCATTATGAGCCCTTACCAAGGGTGGCTCTGAATTTAAGTGATAGGACCGGGAAGCTAGTTGACTGAGGTCACTCGATAGATCAAATTTCAAAGAGTTTTGCTAATGCCATCAAATCCCATGAATGATTTCAATTCCCTTATTTGTTCTTGTCCAACTTTCCTAGGATAGTTAAAAATTGGCTCCAAGATTCTAATTTTTAAATTAATCACTTATTGAAAACGTGTGTGAGGTTCTTTCCCAACCAGGAGATTCACGTGGGAAAGTTCTGACTGCATGTCCCTGTGACTTTCGTTCTCTCTTTGTTCTCACCCGACTGCAGTCTTGGGGTCTATGGACACCACCCAGTGTATCCACACAGTGTATGGTCCTGTCTGTAGGACAGCACTGATTTTTTTGTAAACTCATAACAGACCACACCACCAAGACCAAGAATTCCGCACATTCTTGGCATTCAATGTTTTTCATATGGCTTGTTTTTAGAGAGAATCGGAGGCAGAGGGAGAGAGAGATAGAAACATCCATGATGAGAGAGAAACATCTATCTGCTGCCTCCTGCACACCCCCTACTGGGGAATGAGCCCATTACCAGGGCATGTGCCCTGACCCTGAAGAAATGGTCCTCTTGGTGCATGGTATGATGTCCAACCAGCTAGACACACTGGCTGGGCTGAGGCTCCTTTCACTTGAGGGAACAACATATTCGGAAGCTGCCACCGAGAAAATGGGAAGCGGACAGTCTAGCCCTATTTGAGAACTAGTTTGGCTTCTGCTCAAATTCAAATTGGAGACTAGTTATCACAGAGCTCCCATTGGACGGGACTTTAATTGGTTTTATGTGCTTTCAGAATAGGTTATGAGAAAATAAAAATTCACTTGCTCTATCGACTTAGCATCAGGGAAATTGTTCATGGACCAGATATTTTAAGATTTGCAACGTTAACATAACTGATTATTTTCGTCAAATAAAAGAGCCAAGTTTCAACTCTGTCAAACAGTTCAACCCCCCCCCGCCCCATGGAAACAGGATGAAAACTACCCTTCTTCCTCACAACAATCCTTCTTCAGTCCGCGATTCACCTCTGACTCTAGTAAGAGGATGTAGTAATGAGGTTATTTCCACTTATTATTTGAATGTATATTATCTATATAGGCATAGTTGTTAATCCTCACCAGAGGATTTTTTCCCATTGATTTTTAGAGAGAGTGGAAGGGAGGAAAGGAAGAGGAGACAGAGGGAGAGAGAGAGAGAGATTGCTTGTGTCCTGTATATGTCTTGGCTGGGATGGGGATAGCACCTACAACCCAGGTACACACCCTTGACCAGGAACGGAACCCCAGACCTTTTGGTCCTTGGGCCAAAGCTCTGACCACGGAACCACACCAGAAAGGACAATTTTACTGAATAATTTTTGATTGTACTATTTTCCCCAGTACATTCTAAGCTCACGTGTTTTGTTTGGCGGTAAAACATCCGATTCAATAGGCAGAAAGCCACACCGTTACCTCCCTTGCTGTTTATTGCTCTATTGGCAGGTAGTCTAATCCCACGATGGTTAAGAATCGTTGTCATGGTACAAGTGTAAGTGATGATATACTTTGTGATAACATCTTTGGGAGAGGATTAAGTTGAACAGGAGGCTAACATATTGCCTTTATGTCCTTCGAAATATAGTGGAAAAGAGCAGGAAATGCCAGAAGCCTGAGCAAAGAGTAGTGGGTGGGACTGGCCACATATTTGGGGCCACAGAGCTTCCTCATTCACGTCTGGGGAACTCCACTGTCTCTTCCCGACACATGGTTTGAAATGACTCCTCTGATGTCACCGCCTTGTGTCCTGATTTGCACATAAATTCAATGATATTCCGTTTTTACATAATAGGTTTTGTCATCTGTCCCTTTTAACCGTATGTTCTTTTCATGCATGATTTCTTCTGATATTACACATGGATCTGAAGGAAGAAGAAATAATGAAAACAATACATAAGCTGTCCTTTTATAAACAAATAAAACTTCAAAGTAATGAGTAGTTTAGAGGATGAAATAATCAAGACAGCTAATGTACATCATCAATGTGGGCCAAGTCCTGTTCTCAGCCCTGGTCTGTGGGCCCTCACAGCTCCTCAGCGGGCAGCTTCTCCTCCTCACACACCAGGAAGCTGAGGGGACGGAAGGTCAGGCACACCTGTCCAAGGTCACAGCGCTCATCAGGTGGACGATGAGTGTGGACCCGGCAGTGTGACCCCAGGGCCTTGGCTCTCTGTCTCTGGGATGTGGGGATCCACAAGGTGACTTCCTGTCCAGTGGACATGGGAGCCTGCTCCATGGTGGCCATGGTTCTTCCTTGTCCACTTCCCACTCAACGGGCAGTGGCTACAAATGCTCCCAGTTTAGTTACATTTTGCTGGGTTAATCCATGTTTATATTTTTCTCTTATCCCCACACAATGTGGAAAGAGAACCATAGAAAATCATAGACTTTCTAATAAACAATCTCCTATTAAAATACAACTATGTATATTTATACATAAATACATCTTTATATCTCTATATCCATCCATCCATCCATCCATCCATCCATCCATCCATCCAGCTACCCGTATCCATTCATCATATCTATTTATCTATTTTCTAATTATCTATATATTTATCTATTATCTATCTATCTATCTATCTATCTATCTATCTATCTAATCTTCTTCATAGGCTGCATGAATGCAAGGATATGCACCTAGTGAAGTTTTGAATATCAACATGATTATACACAAATTTTTATTAATTTTTTTCCATCACTATTTATTCCCCTTCTGCACTCTTCCAAATCCACCCACTCCCTTCCCATCCACAATCACTGCACTGTTGTCCATGACCATGAGTTCTCTCTCCTTTTTTAATAACCCACATATGAGTGAAATCAATGGTTCAAATATTTTCTGTCTGAATTATTTCACTTAGCATGATATTCTTAAGGCCTGTCCACGTTGTCACAAATGGCAGTATTTAATTTTTTCTTATGGCTGAGTAATATTCCATTATATATATCTTTTTCCAATCATATATAAAATTTTCACGATATCATGGACTCCTATTTTTCTTCTCTTGACCCAAGTATTTTATATTCTAGTTTAGCCATCACTGTTATTGGTAATAGAAATAGCTAAAAAGTAAGTTCCAACACATCCCATTAACTATTATATGATGAGACATTATAACACATATGACTTCTTATATCCAAAAATTTTCAAATGTTTCTCAGTACATTCAGATGCTGTTTACATCCAAATATATATTATGTGGGTTCTACATACCTGTCGAAACACTTTTTCAGATCTTTCTGTCTTAACTACTCCAAGCAAAAATTTCTCTCTTTGCTTTAATATACCATATGTTTGTGTAATTTTTTACACAATGTTGGAGGTTGTCTTTGACGATCTTAGTATTTCAATTCCAAGACTCAAATACAGTCTTAGCTCTGTCGCCGAAATGATTTGATGTCCCCAGATAATGAAAATTGCTTCCTATTCTAGGTTGTGGGAGCAGGACTTGCTTGTGCTGGGAGACATGTGTTAGACTTGTCCATCTACTCCAGCGGTTCTCAACCTGTTTGTCGCGACCCCTTTGGTGGTCGAACGACCCTTTCACAGGGGTCGCCTAAGACCATCCTGCATATCAGATATTTACATTACGATTCATAACAGTAGCAACATTACAGTTATGAAGTAGCAACGAAAATAATTGTATGGTTGGGTCACAACATGAGGAACTGTATGTAAAGGGCCAGAAGGTTGAGAACCACTCAGTCATTTCAACTTCAGATTTAGAATTTTTTTGCAATTCAATACTTTCTTTTCTATATAACCTAGTTTGGAGCTATTTCTAGACTATTCTGACTTGGGTATAGTAACCATGATTTGCAGTCTACCCACTTACTGGGTTTGCTGTAATGTCCCGCTGAAGGGGACACATACACAGGAGAGGATGAGTCATGTAGGGTCCACAGTGGGATCAGTTAATGTATCAGAATCAGCCTCTCCCAATGGTCCTGTTTAAAGGACCTTTATCATTGTTCACATAGGGATTCTCCAGGCTCATAGCCCTACACACGAGTCTCCGAATGTGAAACATTGAGGAGAGCTGTTGGTGAGCACAGTTCTAGACTCTGACTGCATGACCAGTAGACCGCACGCGAGCTCATAAACATCACCCTCATGGTCTCAGGATCTAGAAGAATCTTGAGAACTTACCTATGCACCTCGGGACTTCAGACCACTTTGCATAACTACAGGTTACATATTGAGGACCCCGGAGTTCATAGTAGGCCTGGCATTGGTATTCCACTCTTGACCCTGGAGGATACCCTTCCAATAGGAGGGAGGTGAAGTCTCCATTGCTAATCGCTGGAGGAGGCCCACACTTGTCTGCAGATTCTGAAAAAGAGCATTTTAAATGTTGAAGAACAAGCTGTACTTTTATTGGAAACTATTCATGTAAAGCTGCCCAGGAAGTATTGTCCCTCTTTTGCATTTTAAACCTTGTAACCACCATGTGGTTCAAAATGCCTTTGATCCCCACACTCAAGCAAGGACAACATACATGTAGACTTCTCAGCTCTTGGAAAAGGAAATGCTGGAATCAAAATACTTACTAAAGCAGGTTGGCAAGTGGGACCAGCCGCCCTCACCACACACCATGGACCCCTTGGTGCTTCCATCTCTGTTTTCATAGCCATCCAGGCATTGGTAGTCCAACGTGGCATTAGGTCGAAATGGTCTTCCAGTGATTACGGCTCTGGCATTCTCAAATATGGGCATGTCACAATGTTCTAAAGCAAAATAAAGGTGGCCATTGTATTTCTAATGCCATATCATGTAGAATCCAACTAAGAAAATCTCATTCCGGCAATACTAAACTTTATCATCAGAGTGTGAGTCTTAGAGAAAGACTGTAGTCCTTGGATATATGATCCATGTATTTATATAAAACACCCTCTTTTCCCTAATGATTCCCAGAACTGAAAGTTTATCCACATTGATTTTAAAAATGAATGGCAAAGGGTACAGCTTTTTCACTAAAGGGAGACACTGAAATGGAAAACAATGTTTAAAAATGTAAGAAGTGATATCTCCTGGTGTTCTTTTAAGGCAATCTTTTCACCTTCTGTCGCATATGGGTTAGTTTTTCTTGAAAACAGTCTTATTTTTTAATATCTGTAATTGTTCTTAGTCCTCAATGGTTATTGAGTGAATTAATGGTAAATAACTCAACCCGTGAACCGGGTGTAGGGAAAGCTGGACAAAGAGAGTCCTTTAGGGGCTCAGGCTGTTGTTTCGCACGGGGCTCAGTAGATTCCTGAATTCCCAGTTCAAATCAGTGATCACTGCTTTTCTAAAACATGCAGGGCTCCAATGAAAGGTCAGCTCTACTCTATCCTGATGTATGAACAATGTCTGTAACAATTATCGTCTCATTTCTAAACAACATCCTCAAAACAACTTAGAAAACCCCATGTGAAAGCCAGATATAACTGCATATGAGTCCTCATTTATAACCACGTAACACAAATACATGCAATCATATGTGAAATGGCTGACAGCGATATATATGTGACATTGGGCATGCGGTGTATTTATTAATTTAATTTAATTATATTTTTAATTTAAATTCTTCTTCAATGAGCACATGCTGTATGTGACCCCAATCTCTGTTTCATTTAACATTATTTTGTGCCATTCATGACTTACTGCTCACTGTTACTTAATTCCATAAAGTAACAATCTATTCGCTATCAAAAATTTAAAACTTTTCAAACACAATCTTCCATTGGAGATGATAGCAAACCCAGTACGTGGCAGGACCAGAAACCAAAGTTAATATGCCCAAGTCAGAATATTCTAGAAATAATAGCTCCCGACTAGGTTATCTAGAAGAGGAAGTATTGACTTTCAAAGGTAAATTCTAAATGTCCTGTTCAAATGACTGAGTAGATGGACAGGTCTAAGTCATGTTTGAAGGCAAAGAAGACTTGGTACATTCACCTTGAGAGTTGACACATAGAACGTTCCACAGCGATACGTCTGGTCTTAGAAAAATCCCAAATGGACTGGATCTTCGGGCGTTGACTTACTGATGCATCTGGGAGGCGAAGACCAGCCATTCTCCGTACATGTCACTGTGCTCTGTGAGTTCGGCAGACTATAGCCCGACGGCAGTCAACTTTCATAGTATCGCCTTGTAAATATGTTTTTTACTTTAAATGGAAACTGTTCATGTTCCGAAGCATTGAAAACACATTTCCCTGAGAATTATAAAATAATGATTAAAAAAGAGTAATTTTGGTCAAAATAATGAATTGAAAAATCACCTTCACAATATTAGAATCCATAAGCATCCCAACATGCAGCTTAAGAAAAACTAGGGTTGTTAGTAAATTTTTTAAAAAAGGAAAGCCACATATTACAGATTATTTATCTGTAATTTCCACAATTAAACTATGAATAAATGATACCAATATTGTTATCAAGTCCTTTTTGTATCTCCCATGTTTTTAATGAGGGACCTGTTATAAAAGAAAATACCTATATTGGTCTTTTTGCTCATAAAACGCTTCCCTTGACTGTATTTTTCTCACACAGGCTTAGGGGTGCTCAGGTTTTGCTCTCTGAACTCTGAACTGTTGCTACATACACAGGATAGAGAGGTTTACTCACTGCGGCAGGGCACTTTCGGGGTCCATCCTTCTGGTGTGCAAGTAATTGATCCCCAGAAAAATGGTGAGTGTCTGACATAGTTTTTGTCACAGCTATAGGGAAACGATTGTCCTACTGATGCTGGAAAGTATGGTCTAATGCTATCTTCCCGGTAGATGCGTCCATGTTTTATTTCTGGAAAGTCACAGGGCTTAGCTAGCAAGTAAAACAAACAAAACACGGTATGAATAATGTTCTACATTCATAAGAACCAAATGAGAGATAAATTGTTTCATTGGTGAATTATATTTCTTTCTTCACATACTAATAATATTCATTGCATTAGGGTTTCTAGGATAAGGGAAGTTGCAATTCAGGTGACGTAAATAACACTAGTTTCCTGAACATTTCACAAAGATACAAAAATGAAATCATTGGGGTGAATATGTGAAACTAACACGACACTGCAGGTCAATATTATCTACATAAATAATCATTTTCCATGTCATTGTTATGCACACTGAGGCCTGTGTCATGGTGGTCATGGCCTCCTCTTTAAGGCACCTGACTGTCCACATTCATTAGGCCTTGGCCTTGAATGAACCCTGAGCCGTTGACCTGTTATGCGTATCATTTCATTTTTCACCCATGGAAGATCCAGCTTAAGTGCGGGTCCCTTTCCCAATGAGCTGATACACAAGGAGCAGCAATGAGATTGTAGAGACAGAAAACACTGGAAAAGGGGCAGCCCCCCAGGAATGAAGTGCCCTGTGGACTGAGGGGCGTGTGTGACAGGTGGGGCTTTAGAAAGTGCACAATGTCTCCCACATTCATCCCCTCATACAAGGGAGCCCGGGCCCCTCCCTTGAGTGAGGCTGGACTGAGGGGCGCCCTTCTGAAGAGGTCACGTGGCTGAGGGGACCGTGTGTGACTAGGTCATCAATGCTCTGCAGGTGCCTCCAGGGCCCTCAGGTCATCGCTCTGGGGAGGGTGACCTGCCCTCAGTCGCCGATGGAGACGCCCAGGGGGACGGCTGCGGAGGCTCCTGCACTCACCCTGGGAGTGGGCCCCTTGGAAGCAGGTGCTGCAGCCCAGCCCTCTCCCCCCACAACCTGGGCAGTGTGAGGTCTCATCCGATAATTGAGCCGATACCCCGTCCCCTGGGAACTGATCTTAGACCACTTCACAATGGACATTCCCTTCCCCTTAGACCTCATTCCACTTGCTGAGATCATTCTCTCTCCCCTCTGGACTTTCCCAGAATCCGACCCGCCCAGGGAATTCTCCTTCCAGAAAAAGCCCCCGTAGAGTCCTTTAAAACCTCTGTCTCCCTGTCCCTGGGGGCTGGCGCCAATTCGGGATTCAGCCCATCTGACATCCCGATGACCTAATACATTTATAATCCCTCACCATGTGGCCTCCTGCGTTCCTCCTTCGGGACCCTAACAAGGAGCATCCCACGGAGCAGCAGGGAGTGATTCAGAACTGGGCAGTGAAGCAGCTCCCAATCCTGACCCTGCCAAGGCTGACACATAGGAGTCTGTGGTTCTGAGGCCCTGGGAGCCGGCTTCTTGGCGGCACATGCTGCAGCCCAGCCCAGCCCTCTCCCCCCACAACCTGGGCCGCATCCCAGGGAGCAGCGGGGAGTGACTCAGAACCAGGCAGCTAAGAGTCACCCAAATCCTGACCCTGCCAACGCTGACACATGGGGGCTACTGTTCTGAGGCAGTATGTTCAGGGGAGTTTGTTATATAAAAACCAGTTACTATTCTACTCGGTGTTAAGTGGTAGTGCTCTTACTCAATACCCTAGGTCAGATATTAGAATTATATTATCTGGACACACACACACACACACACGCGCGCGCGCGCGCACACGCACATACTTAACATTGAAGCAAAATTTAAAAAGGTTTTTCACTTACAAAGATGGGACATTGTCCTTAGAATTGGCGACTTTGAAAAGCAAAGAGCGCCCGTCAGTCCTCGGCTTTACCTTCTCAGCGAGGCAATGACTGGGTTTCTCAGGCCCCATTTCTTGGTGTTTAAGGGAAGGAATTTATAACGAAGAAGCAGGTCAAGACCTGAATGGGACTTACGGACACATCTGGGACGGGGTACCCAGCCTACACGAGTGCATTTTGTGGTATTTCCCAGAAGGGGAGGATAGAAGCCATTTCTGCATTGGTATGTGATGACACCATCAAGTCCGTATTGGTTCATTTTAGAAGCAAAGTCACTGTTTGGAATTACTGGAGGATCACATGTTATTTCTGAAAAGAAAAGGACACGTGGATTATGCAGAAATCACTACCCTTGAATACAATCATTATATGAGAATCCATTGGCTGCCACTTCTTGTTCTTACCAACGAGCAAAGTGGCATTAGAAGGAGCAGGGTCTCCATTCTTCCACTCATCACTCATTTCCCTCCCGCATGGCTCATCTGGAGCATCTGTGCCTCTTGTGTCTTGAATCCTCTTTCCCCAAAGCCATCACTTCCATCATGATATTCCATAGGCGGCAATGACCTCATCATACATGCCTTCCTCTGCCCTCAACTCCCTGGGGTTGTGAAGTTCTGGTAAGGACGGTTCACACTTAGTCTGAGCCTCTTTCTGCCAGGCACTTGGTAGGGTTGCCCCCCGGGACCCCAGAAGGTTTGCTCTAGGATCGATCCCAGACATCCTACTCAGAGATGCTCCAGTCCTTCCGATGAGTGAACGGGGGACTGGGGTGCTTTCCCCTGGGACACCAGGGAAGTTTGCTGTGTTGTGATCATTGTTGCGTAAGGAAATTGCCCAAATTAAACACTAAAAAAACCCCAGCACATAACAAATTATGAAATTGTGGACAGTGATGCATAGTCTACTCACACCTGGTATTTGACGAGACATCATGGGCTCTCTCAAGTTCTAATTTATAATTCAAACATGAGAGGACTGGCCCTAGCCGGTTTGGCTCAGTGGATAGAGTGTAGGCCTGGGGACTGACGAGTCCTAGGTTGGATTCCGGTCAAGGGCATACGCCCAGACTGCGGGCTCGATTTCCAGTAGCTAGTGTGCAGGAGGCAGCAGATCAATGGGTCTCTCTCGTCATTGGTGTTTCTTTCTCTCCCTCCCTCTCCCTTCCTCTCTGAAATCAATTTTTTAAAAAAGTGAGAATAGATGATAAAATAAATGACAGAGAAAAATTATAATGAAGTATTTGTAAATTTAATAATACAAGTGCTTTTAAAAATGTTTAAAGTCTCAACATTTGTTCATGGTCTCAGAAAACAAAATAAAATTCAGCGAGATTACACTGGAAATTAAATATATATATATATATTTTTAAAGAAATTTGTTACATATAGCTGTTTTTGTTAAAATATTAAGTTGACAGTAACATTAATGACCTATAATAACTTTAATGTTAAAATGTATGAGACTAAACATTTTAAAAATGTATAACCTGATGATGGTTTGACATAATTATCTATAATATCTTCACCATATGTAAAATTATGAAACTATCTATCCCTCTCCAAATTGTCTTGTATTGGGAATAAGAGTCTCCCAGCAATGCTGGAGCAATAGTTGAGCTTTTCTGTGACGTGTTCTAGTCATGGCCTCATGAACATCGTCACATGACTCCCTAGTCCCTGTGAAGTGGCTCTCACACTGTGGAACTCAGAGGACAGCAAACGATCTGCTTTTACTTCCCCTGAGGTGAGTTGTGATAATTATCCCATCATGATTATATATATGTGTGTGTGTGTGTGTGTGTGTGTGTGTGTGTGTGTGTGTATATATATATATGTATGTATTTTCTCTCTGGTTTATTTTAACTTTCTCTCTGGTTTATTTTAACCTGGCAACTCAATACAGTACTGTTATTTGATACGAACTGAGGTGCCACTGGGCCGCCGGGTCACTATCTCCATGTGAACTTAAGACAAAGTTTCTACCAGCAAATTCATTAAGACAAAGACAGCCCTGGCAGGTTTTGCTAAGTGGTCAGAGCAAGGACCCAGGCACCTAAGCATCTCAGGTTCACGCCTGGTCAAGGGCATGTACCTGGGTTACATGTTGGGTCCCAGCCCTGATCTGGGCTTATGAGGAAGGCAACCAATCTATGTGTCTCTTCATATCCATATCTATCTATCTATCTATCTATCTATCTATCTATCTATCTATCTATCATCTATCTATTATCTATCTATCTATCTATCTATCTATCTATCTATCTATCTATCTCATCTCCCCTTTTCTCTGTCCCTTCCACTCTCTCTAAAAATCAATGGAAAAGATAACCTCAAGTGAGAATCAACAAAAATAAAATAAAGAGAAATTAAGAAGGATTAAATCCTACTTAAGAAGGAGCTAAATATTCCCGTCGGTTTCAACTCACCTTGTCCACGAGCCCAGGAGACCCACAGGGTGAGGATGACCGTGACTAGGAACTGCATGGTGGGCTCCCCGGGTGTGTTAGCACAGAGAGTCCAGCGCTGCTGTTTGGGGTTTAAATCCGCTGTAGTTACCTAGAGCGGCTCTGAATTTAAGTGAAATAAAGGGAAGCTAGTTTACACAGGTCACTTAGTAAATATCAAAGTGCAAAAAGCTTTGCAAAACCACTCAGTTTTCATTAATAATCAACTACCATTTGATTGCCCCAAATGGATATTATAAGCCCTAGATCAACTAGAAAAAAATAGATATCTAATAACTAACAAATGGTATGAAATTAAATGCTAAAAGCATAGACTAATGTAAAAGAATGAAGAGGATTCTAAAGAATACTAGCAAAAGTGCCACAAATTAGAAGCAATTGGCAAATGGCATAAATAAATCCATCAGTAGTCATTATTGATGGTAAATCACAATGACAAGCCAATAAGAAAGAAGATGAAGTAGAATTGAACAAAGAGAAAAACCAATTATGAGCTATTTCCCTACAGACCAATGTAAATATTAAAAAATGACCAGTTGCGATTGCCCGGTATGGCTCAGTGGTTGAGCACTGACCTATGAACCAGGAGGTCACAGTTTGATTCCTGCTTAGGGCACATGCTTGGGTTGTGGGCTCCATCCCCATTAGGGGGTGTGCAGGAGGCAGCCGATCAGTTAAAATATTTTTAATATATTCCCTCTCATTATTGATGCTTCCATATCTCTTTCCTTCTCCCTTCCTCATTGAACTAAAAAAATAATATATTTTTAAAGTGACTAGTTGAAAACAAAACATTGGAAAATGTAAATTTTGTAAGAACGAAGTCTGTGTAAGGTGAGTGGTTATGGTAATATTAGAAAAAATAATATTCAAAAGAGAAACACCAGAGACCACGGCAAGGGGGAAAACTGCATGAATTCTGTAAGGAAAGAATAAAATATAAATTTGTAGAAAACCTTTAAAATTCCACAAAAAAGAGCTACTAGAACTAATACACAAATGCATTTTCTTTATATTAGAAATGAACATTAGAAAATAAAATGTTAAAAAAGAACACTATCATTTATAAAGGTTAAAAAAATCTGAAGGAAAAATGTCAACAAAATATTGGTAAGATTGCTACACTGCAAATTTCAAAACATAAGCAAAAAAATTTCAAAAAAATGAAAAAGTCCATGTGTTTGCGGATTGAAGATTTACTATCATTAAGATGTATGTTCTTCACAATTAAGTCATGCTTTCAATTTCACCCAAGAAAAATTTTCTTATTTAACCAAAATTAAATGCCACTGACAACATGATTCTAAAATTCATGTCTAAAAAGAACTAAATTGGAAGCTTTTATTCCTAAGTATCTAAATCGATAACAAATATGCTCTGTTTATCATGGTGTGGAAGTGTCATAATAATAAACACCTTAACCAGTGGGAATAAGGAATTCCGGAAATATACACCCACACACAGAGTAAGCACAGAATGAGTAGTAATTATAAGAACATACATTTTAAAAAGGTCTGCCTAGAAAAATTAACAAAGTCAGAAGTCTAATAACAACTTGGAAAATATGTTTAATTTATATCAGAAATGTGTGAAAATAAAAGTGATGATTGCATTATTTCTAAACAAAGAAAAATAATAGGAAAAGAGACAGGTATCTTAATGAGAAAGTTAAGAGAAAAACCCAAAAGGAAGGGTCCTTAAATATCTTCAATGTAAAGAAGCACTTTCCTAACAAAATGCACCTTAAACTACACCGAGGTCCCATGTTTTATCTACCAAAGAGGGAAACCATCTAACAGGTTGACCACAGCCCATGTGCAAGGAAGTAGATACGTCTATGGAATTGCTTGATGATCCATGAATTTCACTTCCGGCAGTTTAGCCTGATCATCTTCCCACATCATCATGAAAGAGCTCTTTATACTTCTCAGCATGTATTGTCTTACTTTTTGTATGTATTGAATTTAAATTAACATATTCTTGTGGCTCAAAGGTGATATATGTCAAAGATAGAGGAATGGGAGGGTATAAGAATTGAACCCAATGCCCACGCCTATTATATCTAAATGGAACTGTAGTTATGGTAGGTGTTTCATTGTGCTTCCTGCCAGTCTTTGTTCTGTAACCATTGGCTCACTTTTCACAGCATGCTGGGTGAATGTGTTCTATGTGCTTATACTCGGTTTTTATCAGTTTTCAAGTCCGTGTTATAATAGCTAGGCCCCTGATTAGAATCTAAGACCTCTTTATGACCTGTTTGAATGATTGTATGTGCTAGATCAGTGGTCGGCAAACTCATTAGTCAACCGAGCCAAATATCAACAATACAACCATTGAAATTTCTTTTGAGAGCTAAATTTTTTAAACTTAAACTATATAGGTAGGTACATTGTTATTAACTTAATTAGGGTCCTCCTAAGGCTTAGGAAGAGCCACACTCAAGGGGCCAAAGACCCGCATGTGGCTCGCGAGCCACAGTTTGCCGATCACTGTAGATGGATATGTAGAAGCTGCATTTCATCATTTTGGGGGGTATAGTGAGCCATGGATAGATAAGCAAAACTAAGTAATAACCTCTACCATCTGTTGCCAACATGGGTGTGACACAGTTTGGTTTTGATGTGTTTGTGAAGTGACTTTAAGGTGAAGATGGAGACAAGCATTTTTTATCCTTTCCTCTGAAATAAGAGTCTCAAAACCACCCACAGATGTGAAGCTTTGAGAAAGTTGGGAGGGCAGTGGGGGAAGCAGGGAGGGGTGAGATGGCATCTACTTTCTGGCCAGAGACATTTCATGAACAGAACACATACAATGTTGGTTTGTCACATTTTAATGAGATGCTTATGAGAAGTGGTCCGTTGGCCTCAGATTACAATGACATCTCCCACATGGCATTTAACAGGAATTCTGATTAATGAGTACAAGTGAGTTATACCCAACATAGAAAAATAAATTGAGAAGAATTAGATTAATATTAAAACATTCTGAATGAGGCACATATTTTAATGTGAAAACTGCCACACATCTCATGTTATGCACAAGAGGGATACTCCATTTTTCCTTCATGACACTGTACTCGGAATGCAGAGTCTGGTGACAGTTTACGATAGTAACCTCGACGACACCTAAATTCAACAAAATCATTTGTTCTGGAATAAATTTTTTTTGCATATGAATATCTCAATTCTATGTTATGTGCTTCCATGATTTCTTCTGATATTACACAGGCATCTGAAGATAAAAAAAGAACATAAAACTTTAAGTAGTATACAAATATTTTCCACAGAATTTTACACTTTCATGTAGAACCTTATACTCAGATCCAGAAATTTATTCTCAAACCAATTCATTGAAAATCCATCATGTTGCCATAACTCATTCTAAACTATCAATGATGTAAAAATGAGGTACTCTGTGGAATGTGTGGTCATTGCATGTTTTAATCAACATTCACAATGTCACCTATGCTATGAAGGGCTTTCATTAAAGAATCCTTGAAGGGGGTGGTGGAGGTGGATGAGGGTTGAGGGGGCATAAGTGGTGATGGGGAAAATAAATTAAAATAAAGAAAAATGATTGTTTCTTGCTGTTGTTGCTCAAGAATTTTTCAGACTTTATACCCTCAGACATGACTATTTGGTTGTCAACAGAATAGGTGATTGTCCATGTAAGTTCTGTTGTAAACAGCAAACATGACATTCATTACACGGATTTCCCAGGGTCTACGAGGATATTAAAGGACTTACCTAAGCATTTGGGTGGCTCAGACCACTGTCCATCACGGCACGTTATTCTCCTGTTTCCCTCAAGTTCATAGTAGGCCTGGCATTGATACTCCACTGAAGACCCGGGAGCGTAGACTGCTGATGGATACGTGGTAATGTCTCCATTGTCAATAGCAGGAGGGCGCCCACATTGTCCTGTGGACTCTATGAGAGGATATTGTTGATTTATTGAGTGAGCAGTTGATTTTAAGGGAGCTGCAGAGTAGGTGGGAGCTACACTCACCTCCTCCCGGCCCCAAACCGATTTACAGGAAACGATAGAGCAATCAACCTGAGTAACCAATGAAGGCCAGCTGGACAGGAGTCTAGTAACCAAGTGCTTACAGAGGCTGCACAGAGACTGGGAGGGGAGAATGAGACACCTACCCTTGCACTCAGGTGGGTCTGTCCAATTCCCACTTAGACATGTCACTTCTGCATTCCCGAAGAGGCCCAAAAAGTGCCTGCATTCATAACGTTCTGTGTCCCCATGTTGATACCTATCCTTCTGGTTTGGTATAAAGGCATTTTGCACTGTGGGAGGGCTGCCACAGGAGACATCTGAATAAAGAGAAAAAACATGGATCTCTAATGCAGTGATCATTTAGACACAATTGAGACTGAAAATCTTCACAAATTTACATGCAAGATTGAAAAAAGAAGATAAAGCAATTTTTTTTTTGGTAAGAGGCAATCTTCTATATCTTAATTTTCTTTTTCATCCTCTCTGAAAGGTTAATAGAGATATTTTGGGCAATGAAAATGATGGATATGCTGTGCAAAACTTTTTAGTTTGATGTAGTTCTATTTGTTTTTTCCTTTTGTTTTGCTTGCCTGAGAAGATATATCAGAAAATAAATATTGCTATGAGAAATGTCTAAGATTTTACTGCCCATATTATTTCTTCCAGGATTTTTATGGTTTTTGAATCTTACATTTATGTCTATAATCCATTTTGAGATTATTCTTGTGTAAGGTATAAGATGGTGGTCCAGCCAAGACCGGTTTGGCTCGGTGGATGGAGCATTGGTCTGCGGCCTGAGGGGTCCCAGGTTCGATTCCGGTCGAGGGCATGTACCTTGGTTGCGGGCACATCCCCAGTGGGAGGTGTGCAGGAGGCAGCTGGTCGATGTTTCTCTCTCATCGATGTTTCTGACTCTCTATCTCTCTCCCTTCCTCTCTGTAAAAGATCAATAAAAATATATTTTTAAAAAAAAGATGGTGGTCCAATATCATTTTTTGCTTGTGTCTGTTCAATTATACCAGCATCATTTATTAACCAATGGCACCCCAATAAATTTAATAAAAATTTAAAAACTTTTTTAAAAGTTAGAAAAATGGTTTTTCTGAACATTTTTCTTTAAGTTTAGTAAAATAAAGATTATATAAAATCAAAATCTAAGTGAATTTATAAACCCAACAAACTCATAATAAACATATTCTTTGGCAGACAAATGTGGTTCGTAAACATCATGTTTTTGATTTGTGATTTTAGGCCCTTAGAAAATGAGCAGAGTAGCCAGGTTCTTAGAGAGTAAGTCAGGTAGTCACATGCTTTGGAGGAACATCGCATGGCTAAAGAAGATGATCACTTAAAATACCCACACAGAATTTGAGGAAAAGTAAGAGTACAATATATTTACAGTTTCCTAAAAATACTCCAATAATTTGAGTGCTAAAGGGCACTGCAGTGAGCAACATGCAGTTCATTGGGGAGACTCAGGTAGATACAAAGTAATAAGAGGCTGACGCTATGGTTCCCCACAAAAGTGGGCATAGAGCCCGCTGGGAATTGCTACAACAGTTTCAGGGTCACAACCCCTGAGCTTCTGATGCTGAGCCTGTGAGTTTGCATTTGCCTTTCTACCGATTCCCCAGAGACACTGACACGGCTGTTTCCGGGGTCACACACTGAGGGCTCTGGGGCCCCAATGCCCAGCACTCAGTGCACATCCCATTCCTCTATGCTGAGGCATAAACCTTCCTTCATCTGGCCTCACCAGAACCTAAGTCTAATTTTTAATGAAGCCAGAAGCCATTCACCAAAATACCTTTGCATGTGGGTGTTCCTATCCAAATGCCGTCCTTACACTGTACAACATTGGATCCATCCATTTGGTAATATTCTGGACATCTATAAGTCACTTGTTCTCCTGGCTTGTATGACTTCTTCTTCCAGCCTTCAAGGATGGCATTGGTATAGCTGGGTGGGCTAGGACAATTAATTGCTGAAAAAGCAACAACATAGACTTTTTAGTAAATCTTTATAAGTACATGTCAGGCAATAATTATACTTTAGAATAGTAGATACACACCAAGCCAATGTCTACTGTACAATGTTTTTCTTATAACTTGAAAATGTTAGCCATTTTGGCTCAATTACACTGAATAATTTTACATTTCTCAAAAGTGAAACATGGGGGAAACAACCAAGATAGCGGCATAGGTAAACACCTGAACTTGCTGCCGCCCACAACCACATTAAAACCACAACTAAAAGATAAAACAAATAGCATCCAGAACCAGGGGAAGGCTGGCTGAGTGGAAATTCTACAACTAGAAGGAAAGAGAAAAGCGCATTGAATACAGCAGGAGGTGCAGAGGTGCAGAGGTGCGGAGGTATGGAGGCACGTGCAAGGGACTGGCAGCTGGGTATGCTGTTGTCTTTTTCAACTGGGAGGGAGATACAAGCTCCCAACTGCTCTGAACTCCAGTTGCGGGTGTGAATTTGGGGACCCAGACTCATTACAAAGAGAAACTGTACTATCTGGCATCGGCCGGAATGTGAGGGTGGCTTTCTCACAGAAGTGCTTGCAGTGTTCATTGTTCCTGCATGGGGCTGTGGGACACAGAGACCCTGGGACCTATCTGAGGCAAAGCAGAAGGGCAGCCATTGCTGTTTGCTCTGCCCTGGTGATTCCCAGAGGCCCCGCTCCCCTACCCCAATTCACATCCCCACCCAAGCTGTGCGCAGAGGCTTTCGCATACTAATGGCCTGGCCTTTCTCTGCCTAAAAACCTGTCAAACTGCAGCTGGATCAGAGATCCTCAGAGCTTCCAAAAGAAGGCCTAAGGCTCGCCAGCAGCCTGCTTTACCTCACAGCTGCGCCTCATCTGGGCACCGCCAAACCCAAACAAAGAGAAGGAATCTGCAGATCTCTCTGTAGCTCCTGCTGGGTAGCCTCAGGAAGTGCACCTCCTTGGAGATCCAAGAGCCAGTCTACCCAGTGGTCAGAATGGGACCATCCAGATTACAACTCTTCACATCCATAAGAGACACACTCAGGGGGCAGACTCAGTGAGCACCAAAGCCCCACTGAAGCAAGTCCTGCCCCATTAGGGTGTATCCAGCACAGAAGCTCTCCCATTGTAGACACAACTGGTCCTCACAGCCAATGGACCTGGAGGTCAATCCCTACCAGTGATACCAACAGCAATCAAGGCTTAACTACAACAAGACTGTGCACATAGCCCACAAAGGGGTTCAGCAAGAGTGTCCACCTCAGGTAATTAAGGAGGCTGAGCCACTGGACCCTATAGGACACCTAGCACACAAAGCCACTCTTTCAACATAGGGAAGCAGCCAAAATGTGGAGACAAAGAAATAGTCACAAATGAAAGAAATGGAGGAAAGCAAACTACTGGATATAGAATTTAAAACCACGGTTATAAGGCTACTTAAGCATCTTCTAGAAACCTCCGAGAACTATAGTGAGACCCTCAAGGATATTAAAAAGGACCAATTAGAAATTAAGCATACACTGACTGAAATAAAGAATATTATACAGAGATCCAACAGCAGACAAAAGGATCCCAAGAATCAAGTCAAAGATTTGAAATATGAAGAAGCAAAAACATCCAATCAAAAAAGCAAAAAAAAAGAATCCAAAAATATGAAGATAGTGCAAGGAGCCTCTGGGACAACTTCAAGCGTACCAACATCTGAATTATAGGGGTGCCAGAAGAAGAGAGAGAGCAAGATATTGAAAACCTATTTGAAGAAATAATGACAGAAAACTTCCTCTACCTGGTGAAAGAAATAGACTTATAAGTCCAGGATGCACAGAGAACCCCAAACAAAAGGAATCGAAAGAGGACCACACCAAGACACATCATAATTAAAATGCCAAGGGCAAAAGACAAAGAGAGAATATTAAAAGCAGCAAGAGAAAACAGTTAGTTACCTATAAGGGAGTACCCATACGACAGTCAGCTGATTAAGGGAGTGGCAAGAAATATTCAAAGTGATGAATGCCAAGAACCTACAACCAAGATTACTCTACCCAGCAAAGCTATTATTCAGAATTGAAGGTCAGATAAAGAGCTTCATCGATAAGAACAAGGAGTTCATCACTGCCAAACCAGTATTATATGAAATGCTGAAGGGTCTTCTTTAAGAAGAGGAAGAAGGAAAAGGTAAAGATAAAAATTATGAATAACAAAGTAACAACAAATACATATCTATCAACAAGTGAATCTAAAAATCAAGTGAATAAAAAATCTGATGAACAGAATAAAATGGTGAATAGAATAGACTCAGGGGCAAAGACAGGGAGTGGACTGACAATTCTCGGGGGGAAGGAAGTGTGAGGGGTGCGGGAAGAGTCTGGACAAAAATCGTGTACCTATGGATGAGGACAGTGGGTGGGTGGTTAAGGGCAGGGCGTAGGGTGGGAGCTGGGTGGAGGGGAGCTATGGGGGCGGGGGGAGAGGAACAACTGTAATAATCTGAACAATAAAGACTTATTTTTTTAAAAAAGTGAAACGTGGGGATGGTGGTGTTGAAAGCCCGAGGAGCTAGGCATACAGGGCATGATTGAGACCAAACTTACTGCATCCAAATTCTTATTTCTCCACACAGGCCACCGACACTATGTGCACATTTCCATTTTTTGCTTCTGTCCAAATCTTTTCCCATAATTACATCAAACATCTTCAATTAACTATATTTTTATTGATTTCAGAGAGGAAGGGAGAGGAATTAACAGACAGAAACATCAATGATGAGGGGGAATCATTGATGAGTTGCCTCCTGGACGACACGCAATGGGGATCGAGCCCACACCCCGGGCCTGTGCCCACTGGGAATGGAACAATGACCTCCTGTATCATAGATCGATGATCAACCACTGAGCCATGTGGTTCTGCCTACATCAACCATCTTAGAACATTATGGATTTATGAATTTATGAGGAGATAACTGTTAAACTCTCAGTGAATAATGATGATGTGGGTGAGCAGGGACCAGCTGTGATACAGGAAGAGATGAGAAGTCAGAGGATGCCCATCAGAACACATGGAAATTGAACACAGATGACATCCAATGAAATAATTTGGCTCCTGTTGCCAAACTTCTCATATTACTATTAATTCTGCTATTCATTCTCTAGCAGAATCCAGAACTTCTAGAGATACCTTCTAAAATTAATGCAGTTTTATAGTTCTACCATGGATACTCTGAACTAAAGATATTTATCAGCCTTAGAAGAAAATGAAATACACTATACTTGTGCATTCTGGTGGATGGGACCAATTTCCTCCTGAACATTCTATGTATGCAGGTCCACGGATCCGAAATCCGGGTTTACAGTTGTATGTATATCTTTCCCCATGTGGATAACTCTTTATCCTGTCAGGAAGAACAGCATTGGAAACCTCAGGGGGTCGTCCACAAGGAAGTCCTAAAAAAAAAAGAAAGGAAAGAAAGAATGACTGCGTATTTCACTAACTGAACTTTACTTCATGTCCTGGCTGTCATATTTGGTGCTTTCATTTAAAAGAAAATGATCACACAGGTGCTAATATCACATGACAGGAAAGGCGCACAAATGCTTGACAGACCATCATGGTGGTGTGTCCAGCTGTCAGCTTGAGCAGAAACTTGAAGCGAAAACTGTGAACACATTTGAGAATGAGTGTGTCAATGGTTCTCTAATGAATCATGAGCAATAAAAAGAAACACATTGAGAATCAACTTAGGAAAAGTATCCTCTACTGTAAGAGAGCAGAAGGGACAATGGAGAGAGAACATAAATCTTTATAAAAGCTGGCGACAAAGCCTTCATTGCAACCCATATGAATATGTAGGAGCATGAACAGGTATAATTATATGAAGAGTGAGGTTTCATTTCACCACATTTCAGGTTTTGTAGAAAAAAATGCCCGAATTACAAGTGATATCACAATGAACCAATAAAAGTAATAAAAATAGGATTGATTTGTTTATGCAAAAATAATTTGGTAAATATTAAAATCTATATAAACGACATATAATGGTTTTACACATTTATAAATCTAGAGTTATTTCTCATGACTTTGATGATGACGATGGAATATCTTACTGAACTGTACCAAAGAGAACTTTAGTGTGCATGCTGTCCTCACCTACACACTGTGGTGAAGCACTCCATTGTCCCAGGTGGCATGTTATCCCGTCTTCTTTGGATAATTTGAAACCATCCTTACAAATATAACTTAATGTGGTGCCATGTGCATATAACTTGGGTTTCAATGTTTCTCTTTCGTCTTCTGAAGATCTGGATGAATTAATGCTTCCATGTTCTACATGAGGTGGTTGAGAACATGGAGTTTTTTCTATATGAAAAATAGAGATGAAAGGGTCAAGCACAAGGATAATGTTTAAATTTAGAAATAAAATCCAACACTGTTTGGGACTTTAAAGTAAGGTTATTGGAACCAATTAAATTATTAATAACTAAAAGTATTTGAAAGTTGCAAAGACATATGTGCCCATAAAATTGATGCTACTGTCCATGTGTACCATATGCCTCTTCAGTCTCCTCCTGCTCATCTTGAGGAGTGAAATATGCATGAACAGAACTTGGGTATTTCCACAGTCACCGGAAGTTTCTGTTTGCATTCATTTCACATTAGAAGGGAAATAATGGTGATTGATTTTGGCACCTGGATGGTGTGTACTGTTTGGAGATGAAGTTGGATGGGTAGGGGAAAGGGCGCATCTTGTTCCTTTATACAAAGCAGGGCTGTGGGTTACCCTCATCTGAGAGACAGTGTAACGCAAGTGACCCACTACTGACCAACACAGTGCGGTATTGACTGCCATCGTCCATCCTGGCACACGATTTCTTCTCCTTCCTGCATTAGAAAGTTTTCTTGACAGAGAATAGATATTTTTTCTCCTTCTTGATAATTCACGGTCAGGGTCATATTTTGAGAATTGGGAATCTGAGGTGGAGGTGGGCATCGTGGTGCTTCTAAAAATATTAAAATCAGATTTCTTGATGAAAAATTGTAAGTCAAAAATATTAAAATAACAATTCAGTGAATAAAATGATGAATAATAATGCACCTGGAAAGATCAAACTATAATGCTCTGTTCTGTGTTTAAATATGTTATACTTTCCGTCTTGCTTGTCACTCTAATATACCTCATTGGGTTTATATTCTCATGGCCTTCCTTGTAGGTTCTTTCCTTTATTCCTTCTGGGATCAATCTTGGGAAGCTTAGCTTATGTAAAATGCTTTCTGTATATTCTAGGCCCATGGAAATTGGTAAAAATATTGAGGTGAGTGGGTCAAGTTGCCCTCAACTAAAGAAGAGCAAAAGTGATATGAAAAGTGAATAAACCCTGTGTTAGTGGAAATGGTGGTGGCAATGAGATTCAGTGTTTGCCAGACATAAAAATGAGCAAAGACAGATGACTAGATGGGTAGATTCCTCCAGCGATAGGTGGATGCAGACATAGATAGATCTGTAGATAGATGTGCACACCCATAGACGCTTAGATAAATACATGTGTTATAAGCATAGGCACATCGGTAAGGTAAGAACTTGGTAGCAATGGGATCCCAATAGTAATGCGCACACCCACTGCCCAGTGTGACTTTAAAGCCACCGCACTGCCGGGCGGTTTGTTGATAGCTGACCACTGCACATGATACAATTACTATTCAGAAACAGTGTTTTGGTTATTTTCTAAATTTCCTTCCACTGTCAAAATTATTGTCATAATACAGACTTAGTAATAAAATGTTAAGACACAAAGAGACACCTTGTACAAGGCAGGAAGGAAAATCCACATTTTGGAAATGTTCTAAACAAGAGCTCACCTGTGCAGTTCACCTCAGGCTCCCACTTTCCGTTCACACAGACTGAGTGTTTCTGCTCTGACTTCCTCCCACAAGTGTAATTGATTTTCTTATTATGCTCATAGTCAATCCTATCTGACAACTTTATCTCATATGCAATTGCCCTTGATAATTTACACGTCTTGAGTTCAAGTGTTGCTGTAAAATAAAAATATTCCATTGAAGACACTAATTATGAAAATCCAAGCAACTAATATAATAAAAAAAACCAACACAACTATAGAGTCCAGAATCTAATGAAATAGGACGTTAGGTCCATAAATTCCACCAGCAAAGTTCTTCCTGATCATGTTGCATGAGGTGCGCTACAATGTTTGTACACACAGTCCTATGTCCAGTATTGAAATTTCAGAGAGAATAGTCATCCTAAAGCCATGTTGCCCTTTGGTGATTACAAGGACATTGGGGTTCACATTTTGTATGATCTACATAGGAAAGAGTCATACATGACTAAATATGATCCCGTTTGAAATCTGCAAATTGTCACATGCACTTTTCTTGATCCCAAACATCTCTAAATTATTACAACCTTAAAGTGTTAAAAGAAAAAAATTATCTGTGGAAATAGACTATGTGAATTTCCTAGTTATATTATATATTTTTAAATAAATTTAACGTACAATAACAAGAAAGGTTGATATAAGTTGTAGGGTATAGAATGTGAATATTTCAGCATCTATTTACATCATAATAAGAAATTGGTTGTTTAGGTCATAACCTATTTTGTATATATATTCTTAGGATCTTTGAGAAGCTATTTTGTACACCAGGTCATCTTATAATATAATAATATTATGCCATAATAATACATTTATGCTGGCTTCAGTATGTTTTAGATACGGACTATGGAGTTTTCATACACAGCTACATATTTCAAAAAGAATGCAGGTGGCAATCCTTTTTGAATTTGATAAGACCTATCAGTGTAGGTCTTAGGTAGTTTTTGTTGATAATTTGTAAATGATGAGAGTCAAGTGAGGATGAACAGAACAAAGAAAAGTCAAGTAGTTGGCCAAAGTAAAGTTATGATTTTGCAATGTAACCTTGAAAACAAAACTAAAATAAAGAAGATGAATTTAAAACAGACAAGAGGCTTGAAAAATAGTCTTATTGTTAGGGCGGGTCCAGAGTGGTGAGGGACACAAAATGAGTCATCTTCTTTGAGATGAGAACTGGAGGAAGATTTGTGGTCAAAAGGGGGTGTGAATATGCTTGTTTTCTGAAAGAATTTATTTATATTCAGGGAAAAGAAACATCTTGATAGAGTGAAAAACAAGATTCTAGGTCAGCACAAAATAAACATTAGAGGAGAAAATTTCAATCATGTATCTTTAAGTAAAATTTAACTTCATAGGTACAAACAATGTCAATATTATGGACAGACGAACAAAATTCTATTGCTAGTTTCAATTTTTCCTCTGTAGATGCCATTGAACTATAAAAAACAAATGTTTGATTCTTTATAATTTGCATTTTCAAGAATATCTCTACATTTCAGAAATATGGTTGCACGTAGTTTCATAATAAAAAAATCCAATGTTATTAAATATCAATTATAGAAGTGTCTTCTCACCAATGCACTGAGGTGGTTGGGTCCACGTTCCCCTAATACATGTAACTGAGCTCTGACCAATCATTGTAAAGTTTTCTTTGCAAGTGAACTCTACTGATTCTCCATGGTGATAGGGGGGCCGTGCTGGGGACATGATCTCGCCATGGTCCAGCTCAGGTACATCTCCACATGTACTGTCCTCCGCTGTGAAATCCCACAAACAAACATTCAACTTTAAAATGTAAGTGAGGTCTTGATATGAGCAGAAACACTACTGAAAGTTTGGATACATTACCAACACACACGGGCAAGGGTGTCCACTCTCCATCAATGCACTGAATTTTCCTCACACCCTTCATCAGGAACCTGGGGTTGCACACATACTCCACCACCTCACCGTGTTCATATTCCCCTTTAGGTGTGTCTGCCACTGTCCCGTTGCGGAGTCGAGGAGGTTGATCACAGGATTGTACTTCCTCTACGGTAGAAATACTGTATAACTAAAGGTGAAAGTGTCTCTTGTAGAACTGAAAATCCAGAAAAATGAAGTGATTTTTTCTTTAATCTATTAGTTATTATCTAACTTATTATAGCATTCTTTTGAGGAAGGATAAAGACTGGTGTTTACATCAGATTCATGTCTCCCAGCTCTGTTATGATACAGAACTAGCACATTGGACATATACGTAAGCCCAAGAAACATTCAATATTCTAGATCAGGGGTGGGGAACGTCTGGCCCGAGGGCCATAAAAGGCCTTGGAAATCATTTGGACTGGCCCTGCCAAGGCATTAGGGGTGAGTTAATCAAATGTTTGACCAATTACAGCAGGATAACTTTTAAGTTGATAATTTTGTTTGGTCTGCGATTGATGTTACAAATATCCAAATGGCCGTTGGTGGAAGAAAGGTCCCCCACCGCTGCTCTAGTGATCTAAACCATATGCAAACCAACGAACAAATATGACTGTGCAACTTATAGCCATATTCACATTCCATGGAAACATTCCATCAAAACCTTTTCAAAAAATACCATCATTGGAGGCAAGCATTTGATCAACATATTTTAACTCTACGTTATATTGTATATGGCATTGAGTTAACTCTGTGATGCTTGAATATTGTTTAGAAATTCTCGGGGAAACGAGGTGAGACCCACGCTGATAGAAATGTCCAATACCAATGGTGGAAGTTATGCAAAAATTATGACTGAAGAGGTCACTCCAGCGTCACACAATATGTCCATCTATGGAGATTTTCAGTATATAGTCCAAAAAGCAATTAAAGATTACTTCCTTAAATAAGAAAGTGGGAGGTATCTACTACCCAGCACACATTCCTGGCTTAATGCACTGGGTTATAGACACACTGGGAGCCAACAGAAAATTAAGAGAAAAGGGGCAGCTGATGTCAAAACATTCTAATTCTTGTTTGAGCGAGTGGCAAAGAATTAATCACCTTTACATGTCGGAGGACTACGGGACCATCCAAAGTGGTAGCACTGAAGAGAGTCTGCTCCAATAAGTTTAAGTCTATTTCTGCAGGAGAATTTCAACACATCTCCAATGACATATTTCTCTTTCTGGGGCTGAGCAATTAAGTTCTGCTCTATATCGGGAACGATGCATTCTCTTTCTATAAAAGGGTAAATAATTTAATGAGAACATATGATTAACCAGTGGCAAGTAAACTTTATATGTCATGCAAGAATAAGTGGCTGGGTGTTGCATATACGGAGAGGCATCAAATAAATGCTCTCCCTGGAAGCGCATTATCTGTTATGTCTGAAACATCCCTCACATTCATATGGAATTCTCTGATAGAAATAGATGTGCCCTGAAAACTTATTTGTGATATCAACTCTCTTATAGTGGATCTGATTTTATCAATTACATTAGTATAACTAAATGCTACATTTTTGGTATTATCAAAACAATACTATTCTCTCACATTAAATAACTAATGCTACAATTTTAAATTACATGCTTAAAGAAAAATTGGTATATTAATGTAATATACTTGGGGACCAGGACACTCAAACAGAGGCATTTCTCATATATTTTAGCAGAGGAACATTAAAAGTTGCTTAGTTAATAATTTAAATCAGTTCCTACATAGAATAAAATCCCAACTCTTTCACGCCTACACTTCCAATGCCATCTTATTGTTTCCTCCCTTTGTTGATCCAGACCCCAGGCTTCACGGTCTCTGAACATTTTTTAAGAGATCAAGTTCCTTGCTCTCCCTGTTGCACGGTTCCGAATGGTTTTCAACCTTTTTGTGTAGAGATGCCTTCCTCTATGAAACAAGCCCTCAATCCCTCCCATTTTCTAAGTCCTTGGATGTATTTGTTCCTTTGAAAATATAAAAATGTATTAGAAATATTATTACTATTTGATTCATTATTGGACTTTTTTCATTGTTGTTGTTTTTTCCATAATGCAAGGAGCCTGTGAGGAGCCCATATTAGGTGCGAGTGGAAGCCGGCATGGAGAATGTAGTCTAATCACCAGAATATTTTTTAAAAATATGAGAACGTTTGTCAACATGGAAACATTTAGCAGATATGGAAGGATGAACAATGCTGCCGATCAGCTTGGTGTTGCCCAAAGACACATGCTTGGCAAATCGTGGAGTGGAATAGAAACCCACCCAGACTATGAATCCATCTGTCAGACTTCCTGTCCCTTTCATCCTTTTATCTCCCCACACCCATGACAACATTCATTCCAACATTTTTTTTTCTCCTGATCCTCTGAGTCCTTTCATTCTCTCTCTTTGCTGCCCACTCCTCTCCTGTCGGACATCTGCATGCTGGAAT